CGGCGAGGCCGGGCCGGGCCTCGGGCCGGGCCTCTCTTCCTCCTCTTCGGGCCAGGCTCTCCCTCCCCGAGGCCGCTCGCCGCAGCTCAGCCTCCTTCCAGCCCTCTACGCCCTCTGCCCTTTCTCAGGCATGGTACGTTTTCATTCTCTGCCTTGGTTTTCTAGGGAAGACGGTAACAACATTGGGCAACGCGAGCCCAGAAGTGGAAGTGAAGCAGCCGCGGGGGACAGCAGCGGTGGGTCAGGCCTGTGGTTGGGGGCTGCGCGCGTCCGGGCCCGGCGCCGCGGCTTCTGCTCAAAGAGCTGAGGGGCCTGCCTTCGCTTCGTGGTCTCCCAGGCTTACATTTCGGCAAAGTAACTACGGAGAAATTCTATGAACCACGTTTTACAAGAAAGCTTTAAAAAAAAAAAGGAAAAACTCCTAAGACAAAGCCTTATCTGGATTATTGCATTTGATTCTAATCATCACGTTTTAAAGAATTAGAAGATACCTGGCGGCAGAAACTGGATTGCAGATGACAAAAGGAAACGTGAGGTTTGGAGACCAGGTGGAAGAAAAAGCAAGCAAGGTTTTAACTGAAGTGTGGCACTAAGAATAACACGGTCAAAACGTCCTCCTGAAAGTACTCTGTGGAAACTACTGTTGGGGTAAGACTCTCCAAGGAGCGACGCGTGTACTGTTCGTCCAGAAGAAAATACTGGCAGAGGAGGCTTCGGCAGATGTGCAGGTGGTGGTGCAGCCTACGTTGGCTTTCTGAATACGTGTAAAAAACTGAGGACAAAAGGCCGATCATTGGGACTGTAACATTAAATTGCTGTCCGGGAAGGCCAGAATATTGACACTCTTCCTCGAAAATTACTGAGGTTTTCCGTGGATCACAATCTCAGGAAATTCCTCCCTGACAAACAGTTTTATTACAGGTCTTAAGTGTAAGCGGTATGTTAGCGGTAATCCGCACAAAGAACTGCTGACAAAATTGGAAGTAAAGCAGAAATACTTTCCAAGATGTGAGTTAGGAATTAACTAGGAATTTAAGTTAACGACGTTTATAAACAAACACACACTCAGTGTTTCTGCCGAAGAAACTTGAATAGTATTCCTGAATAAATACACCATGAATTAACAAACGCATTTTTAAAAACAGGGTCAGAAGCTAACACACTATTATTGCCTAGGGACAAGGAATATATGCATACCTATGATCTGTAAAATTATTCACACAGACTCTGGTTCTGCCCTTGATTACCTGACTAAAACTCCTCTTAAAGTCCTGTTGCTCTGCAGCAGTGGACCAGAAGATACAGCTAAATCCTCTGTAGGTTTCCATAAGCTTCCTGTTCCTGCAGCATTGGGAAAAAATGGCTCTCACCTGCTGCGTGTGCTGTAATTGACTAACATGGAAAAATGCAGAAAGAGAGCAAAAGCAGAGTTTAATGTTGGATAGATATTAAAAAAAAACTTATTTTCAGTTCAGAGATGAGATTCACATGTTGCTGCTTACATGAAGGCCAGGCAGATCAAAGGAGGCTGATAAAAATGTTTGTATTTATACACGTGGCAGATGCAGGAGACCCTCAGCATGCTGAAGAGACAGGACACCTATCTTCTCTAAGCTGGCTGATTTTATGCACTATTTCAGAGAGCACTGGTGCTATATAACACACCAGATTGCGTGGTTTATCTTGGGCGCCTGCTTTCTAGCTGCTGACTAATACAATTGCAAAAGCACAACGGTGAAGTAGGTGTAGAAATAAAGTATTTTACCTGTGGAAAGAGTCATTCAGAAGGGTGACATGAAGCGCTGAGGGCTGCAGAGTGAATTTGTGGCAAAGGGGATAGAGCAGTTTCTTCACTTCCCTGACCCTTGCTCTTTGCCCTAGCCCATGGTACCTGCCATAATCTTGTCCAAAAGCACATACTGCGACTTTTTCTTCTACCAGAAAAGTGTCTGTTTTCTCACTCTAACCCTGGTGAACTGGTTTGGCTATGTCTCACCTTCCCATCTTTACTATTTATAAAGAACAAATACAAAGTTCACTTTGGCACAGAACCAATGCAAAGAAAATTACTGTGTCAAAATGGAACTGCTTAGAAATATTGCCTACGCCATTTACTGTGAAGAACCCAAACAAAGAAGCTACAAGAGGCTGCCTTGCAATTGAATCCCACTTGTGTTTTTAGATTAAACTATCAAGCCTTCAGCTTGCATTTGTGTTTGGTGGCGAGTCCAGAGCTTTTTTTTTTTTGTGTGTAGTAAACACAGGATATTGTTAGAAGCGTTCTAACAACTAATTAGAGCAATTATGTAAGAGAACAAGTTAGGAAGAGTATTAAAATTAATTAATAGTAACACTTATATTGGGTCTTAAATCACCCAACTAAGTGAGCCCAGACTGAGGGTATTTCCACGTATAATTTTTCTGCACAAGGTAAGGATTGCTGTACCAGTAAATACAAATGTTGCTATTACCTAAGCGTTATTTTAGACTGTAGCTGCACAAGACTGTTCTCAAACAGGATAAAAACACCGAGCAATAGACATGCTTCCAAAAGCGTATCAGATCACTATCTATATTAGAACATCAATCACAGCATGTGTTTGAACACAATGATTTGTAAGATGTACGGAGGCACACAGCGGAAGTCTAAGAGCGCAAGCTCGGTCATACCGGGTGAGCCACAGGTTCATTTCCTCAGCAGCTGGTCCCATAGGACCCGGAGGACCGGGGCCCATAAGGAACGCCCAAGCTGCACGAGACAACCTAAGTCTAGCTTGATTCCACTGTGATTTTCTCTATCATCGGATGACAGCCACCTAGGATTTAAAGATTTCAGGACGGGGGCTGCATGTAGAATTGATGGGTTTAATAGCCGCAGGTAGGTGGCCTTGAATTTAGCTTTTTGTGAACCCATTTACGACATCTAGGGGCAGTGGCTGTGTGTCTGCATTAGCAAGTGCTGTAGAGTGGATATGTAGATTAAAAAAAAAACAGTTGGTGCTGCAGGCTCAGTGTCCGTACTACACACATTTTGGGGCTTTCTTTCAGATTAGGTCTACGTTGGGCTGGTGGCCTGAATGCCTGTTTGTCATTAGAGCACAGAAGATGCACTCCTGAATTACATATTCCAGCTGAGTTTAATCTGAAAGGAATCCCATTTGTGCTTTCCACGACCACCCCAGGATGTGAATCAAGCAGAGACAATTGCAAGATGCACTTCAAAACGCACGCTCCTGATCCAGGCTGAAGTACTAAGGTATCTGCATACAAGGAGTTCCACACGTTGTGTGATAAGTACGTTGTTTTGTTTATTTTAAATCTATGGCCAAAATTAGGTGATGGCAGTTCTGCTACTGAGTTACGTACCGTTGCATTCATGCTGTTAAGGACTTCCTTAGCCTTCTTTAACATGGAAGCTGTGTCATATCTTTGATCAGACACTGTGCCCTTATCTGTATGATTTCTACTTCTCCTATAGTGTTCTTGTGCTGGAGAACGCAGAACTGCAAGGAGTATTTAAGGGTTTATACAGGGACATAACTATATTTCCTCTTTCTTTACATCATAATTTATACAACTCTATTACCTTTTCTTTGCTGTTTTTAATTCTTCTGATCACAAAACTAGACACAGTCACTCCCAGATTTCTTTCCTCAGCAGCAAAGGATACTTAGGAGCACAGCATTATGCATGCCCTGTTAGGGTTATTTTTCCCCATAACCATTACTGCAAGCTCACTGATAAAACCATGGATGAAGTACCATGTCACTTGCTGTTATGAAACTCTTCCAAAAGGCTTTGCAATAAGATTTAGCCTTGATTATGCTGAATAATTTTGTATCATCTGCAAACTTGTCACCTCACTCTTCACCTCCTTTTTTCAGGTCATTGAAGAGCCTGATACTCCCTCCCTTTTTTACAAGAGCTATCCTTTTATTCTTGTGGCTTACATTGTTTCAGATCGGTCATCAATTCACAGGAGAATCCTTCCACTTAGCCCATCAGTTGTTTCTGTTGCAGCCTTGGAAAAAACTACTGAAAACTCAAGTATGCTTGATTCACGGGATCATCCTCTACCGTATGTGTCAAATCTCTTGAAAGGCCCGTGAGCGTGCTGAGTGCCAGAACGCTGGGCACCCACAGGCGCAAGTTGAGAACATCTTCAGAACCAGTTCTAATGGACCGTGACAGTAAAGCCCAGCTATTCACATACAAGCCCAGGACACTTAAGTTTAATGGCTTGTTCCTAGGAAAGACGACGGTATTTTCTCAGCGGAGAATTTGAGACAAGCTTCTTGTACAAGGGATCAGACTGAGACCTACGCACTATGCGAGTCCCCAAAACAGAAGGTACATGGCAAACAGACTTTGTGCTAAATCTTCTGCTTGGAGATAATTGTACTAAATTGTAACAAAACAGTTGTGTTAGTGAATTGCAAGGCCCTGCTGGAAGAAACAAGTCATGGTGTCCCTGGGGAGTACTTGGAAGCGCTATGAGTAAAACTGTTGTCCATGGCAGCTACTAATAAACTGAAACGTCACTGTAAAAGGAAGCATTTCTTTTGCTTTGCTATGTGCCAGTCATTTAATTCAACGTGTCTTTTCCACAGAGAAGTAAGTTCTTACCTTTATTCCAAGCGCCGCTAGAGAATTCCCAGAAAAGCAGATACTAAAAACCTCCCAAGAAAGAACAGAAATAATTTAATAAACCAATCTGCATCCAAAAAGTTTAAATTCATTTATATTTATTTTTCACGTACAAGATCAAAGAAATAAAAAACAGAATCAAACCCTGGATACAACAGTTTGATCTGACTGCTTTTGATGCATACAATCTGTATGCAAAGTATTCTAAATTAAAAACCAATGCTCACACATGTCATATAACAAAATGAAAAAAGTAAATAAAAAAGTTAAAGTACTAGCACATACATGGATGTAGTATATTAGGAAAAAAGTTTCAACACCCATATTTTCCTGTTTTTAAAGTGGACATTTTAATCCTCCCCTTCCCTCAGCTAGCATTTGTTTTCAAAAGTCAAACCCAGTCCTTCCCCAAGTTACATTCTAATAGTGTTGCCAGAATACAAGCTGTAATTAACAATATCCCATTACTTTTGTATCGCTAGCATTTACGTATGCCATCCTCAGCGATAGTCAACAGTACAACTGTCCAGCTGGCGTATTTATTGTATTTATACTACAAGTATACAGTGTAAATTTAGTAAAGTAAATGTAATTTCACAACCTGAAATAATACAGTGAAATAGTGTCAGCAATAAATTTAGTTTCAAAAGAATTATGTATGTTTTGAATACTTGGAGTTCTGCCAGAAGGCTGTTTAAAACCAGAAACTTGGAAAAAAAAGAGAACTTTCAAACTAGACGTTGTTGTTGCTTGACTTCATCTGATGCATTCTCTCCTTTCCAGAAGGAAAAGCTTACTGTGGAAAGAATCACTTTTAACTGAACCGTGATTTGGTTCAGGATTGAATAAAGGTCTGACCTAAGATTTTGGCAGCTGCTTTATCCTGGAAGTAGTGTTTCACATAGCACCTTCCTGTTCAACTCTGTTGCTGTTTTATTATCAAAGTAACATGAAAAGTTTCAAACTGACCTCTGTAAGGCCTTTGAACCTGGACACCTAACTCCTGAAACACCAATGAAAGGGGAATCAGACCTCTAGCTTCATAACGATTCTGATAAGCACCTTATCATGTGCGATTTTGTTAGAAAACTGCATCCGTTTTCATTGTAAGTGCTACAAGCACGGAGTCCGGCCTCCAGCTGCTGAAAATCAGGGCAGCCAAACAGGAGTCAAGAGATGTTAGCTAATGCACACCAGCTGAGAACCTGATCTGCTTGCGATATGTTTTATTATGACAAAACTTAAATTCGCAAAAGTACTGATTTACTAGCAAATGCACAAACTGCATTTTCTGAACTTAATCTAATGATGCGCACTATCAGCTGAACATACCAGGGCTCAGATCTGTAGCTGCTGCAAATCGTTCTAGCACCAACGGCTTTCACCTTCCTAGGCCAAGAACGCAGCGCTGAAACGTTGGCCTTACAAGTTTTAGCTTCACAATCAGATGCCAAAAATCTCCAATTCTTCAACCCAAACACAGTCAGTCAGTTATGTAACTAAAGAACAAAGCCCTAGGACCGTCTGGTTTTCATTTAAGCTGACAACCTGAAGCAATCTTTAAGAGAGAAAGAGATTAATTGTAATTACAGTAACATTGGTCAGGCCTGCTCGGTCCCTTGTTTTTTTAAAAGAATGTTCTGCTAGCTCAATGGTCAGCTCTAGCAAAAATAAAGTAATTAAAAAAAAAACCCTCCCCAAAAAAGAATAAAAGAAAAACAATGCCCGTTCAGTAATTAAATTCTCTGCAGACACAACTCTGCTGTCACATCTCATTTTGTAGTTAAAAAAAGAAACATAAAAAGAGCTACTCTTCTCTGCGTAGTACACCTTCATTGCTCTAGGTCTTTGCCTTTCCTCTCTTTTTAAAAAGTTCGGTGTGTATATTTTAGCTTTCGTCCTCTGGTGAACCCAGCAGGTAGTTTTTTGTATTAAGTTCTTCGGTCATATTTTGTACTGATCACTGGTGATTCATCTCTGTGTGTCCCTATCTGCAGCCACCCAGCTGTAACATCATCATTCATCTCCCAAATCTACTGCATATTCCCCTCACTTCATCTCTGACCTTTTCACCTACCTTCCTCCAACCAGATGGAAAAAAATCTTTATTGATCAATATTCTGGTGCATTGGTAAGATCTCGTTAATTTTATTAGACCTGACAAACACACATTTACACTGAGTGCTACATCTCTTGCTCTCTCCACATAGTCTGGATCAAGCTCAGAGAAGTGTTTCAATGCCTTTCATAAAAAGGCACATTTTTCAATATAAAAAGCTTAAATTCATAGATTATAAATAATATAAGTTCAAAATATTTAAGAATTTCAGGACTTCATTTGCATTTCAGGGGAACGGCATGTGTAATGTCCTTGATGCCTTCTCAGTCCCAAACATCTGCTAAAGAAGCCTTTATAGGGTATACAATAGGTAGGAATACCAAGAACGTGCCTCGTGTCCTGTACTCCAGTGCGAGTAAGCAGAAGAGTTACGAACTAAGCAACTTTACCAGACAAGTAACAACACTGCTTAGCATTGCTCTGATAAAGTGACCATCTTCTCTCATGTATACAGTTACATGCACAGTTTAACACTGTCAGTTAAAAACATTACTCCTGAAAACACTGAGCAACGATTTTTCCCACTGCATATGATATTACCAAGTTGTGCCACATTCTTCTGTCCTGATTTTAAAAGTATATTTTTGCATTTAAGATATTTGCCACAGATTCATATAAAAAAATTGTTTGTTCATATGTTAAATTACAAAACTGTAGTGCTTAATATAATAAACATCAAAATCTAAGATCCATTTAAAAATTGCTTGTTATAATCACTTTTTTTAAGGCAGTAGTTAGTACCAACCTGGTTTATTTTACAACAATATAGTAGTGTAAAACTGTTATTAAACAATTCTGCTACTATCAAATTGGAAGCATTTATTATCTGGAAACTATACAGTAATGTACTGAAAAAAAGAAATTGCAATAGTACTGCTTGTGCCTTTACAAATGTATAATGAGAATTATTATAGCTGATATGGATCAGATTTAATCTACATTCCATACAGCACAGCTTTACTATTAATGAAAAGATTTTTAAAGCTTAAGGAAATCGATATAAAAGCTTTTGATACTGTTGTCATAAATATAGTAATAAAACTGCTCTCATGGTCCAAGGTTGGGCAGGTTTTTTGAACCAAGTGACCTAGCAGTTACGTTTTGTGATTCAGTAAGAGTTTGTGATGTTAACCAACACCCATTAGGACAGATAGGGATATGCACACGCAACCCACTTTCTGTCCTGAAAGTGAAACATTTCTGCCTGATCTGTAAAGGGGGGGGAAAAAAAGTCTACAGACGTATAAAGTAGAGGGTTTTCTAAAGTGAGGAATAGACATTATATTTAAGTTACTGTCAATCAAATCCAGGCAGAGATTAAATTGACCATAAGGACGATATAACAAAAGTCATTAAGGCAGCAAGTTGTATCTCTGAGGATTTTCAGATGCTCTGCCTCTATTTCAAGAGGAAAAGGAAATGTTGAATTGCATTACGGGCTGAATCAGCATTAAATAATGGATGATTACAGCCAAGTAAGGAAGGGCTCGTTTTTGTTGAGTACTGACTCCACATCGTTGAGGATAGGGATCAAGTCTTCTGACTCCAAAGTCCCAAGATCAACATTTGTTCCTGGAAGACAGTCGAGAAAATCAGGGAAACGTGTTTGTTGTGGATTTATGTTCATTGTCGTCTGTGCTACGGTTTCTCCTAGGAAGAGTAAAGAAGAATGTTTGAAATATTGATTCCTTCTCATGGGTAATTTAAAACAATACAGTTGATTAAAAGAAAAATTAGATTCCCTCTTTCCCATCAGCACTTGGAAGCTTTATATCCTCTGCAAACGTTACCTCAGAACCGTATTTGCCTGCAGAAAGCATATTCTTGTAAGAGTTAATTATACACCTTCGCTTCACTCTCAAAAGCATAAAAGACCCTTTCCAGCAGTGTTCAATGTAATCAGCCTCTGACCTTCCACTTGGCACGACTGTTCAAAGTTCACTAGTCTGCAGAGGGTGCAATGCAACTGAGTCTTGTATAAACCCTCTATCCTGCTTTCCGCACAAGGGTGAATTCAATCCATGGCACGTAATTGAGAAAAGAATTTTACAGGAACTTAGCTCTGCAATTTTTGGGGTTTTTTTGTGCTAAAAGTAATAATAACGAGCAGGAAAATCTGTTAAGAGCTAAACCTCTCACTTTTTGTACCATCCAGAACTCCTGATGACTTCAAAAGGAATTTTAGGTGAGGGAGTGCTGAGAATTTCACTCTTCAGGAAAATAATGGTCGATTTCCTCGTCATTTATTTCAATATTTTAAACACTCTGAGGATACTGATGTTAAAATAAATACATATCAAAACCTAAATAACTAAACACATTCTGTCTGAAGGCAAATCTGTCTTTGCCAATGTAAGAGGCTCTTATTCAGAAGACTGCTTCCCAGAGTTAGAAAACGTAGCGGTTTGTACTGAGAATTTAACCCAGGACTAGATTCTTCCTGTCCTACCTTGGACTATAGTATTAAAACATGAATTAAGGCTCAGATTTTCCAACTCCTACTCATTTGGTTTAATATCATACTGTAAGGGTATGATGAGGGTAGAAGCTGGTCCTAAGCAGAAGCCGAGTACCTTCTAGGCACTAATTACCTTTGAGGCCTTTTCCTCCACAGTCGCAGTCTGTTCTCTTGCATCAGAAACTGAGAGCTTATTGTTCAGTTATGCAATTATAAAACATTACCGGTTATAACAAGAAGTTGTTGCTGTTATTATTATACTTTAAACTACATCAGATACCTGTATCCATCTCATCTACGTTGCTGAGGAAATCTTCAGGTGTTGTTGGTATACTGTAACACCCCAGTCCTAAGCCGCTGTCTGTGCTCTGTTCCCTGGAGTGGTATGGCCCACTGTAAATCGAAACATGAACAAGCCTCAGTAAAGATGTTCTGTTAGACATAGTCCCTGATCACGGTGTTTGAAAAGACAGAGCAATAGGTTAGATATTCAAGTTAAATACTGACTCATGAAGCCTCTTTCTCAATTGTTGAACACTAACGTGGTCATTTACATCAGTGCAATATACACACATATATATAAAAGTCTCTAGACAAAAACCGTTTTGACAGCCTAAAAATAATTGAGTTTACTTATACTAAGGCAATGTACCTAGAATCCTCTGCGTACTTGTACAGTCCATTTAAAACCATCTGTTACCATTTGTTTGATTTGTCTAAGAGTTGTTCTTGTAGCAGAAACTGAAAACGGTCAGGGCAGCCACGAGGCTGTATGCCCTGTTCGCAGTAACTGCCAAACAAGAACCTGCTTAGGAGAGGCAACCTCAGAAGTGCAGATAAGGCAACAACCAAATGTCTAATGAGGAGGACACGAACTTGCCTGTTCAGGAAAGGATCTGATCCATTATTTGTAATGGGTCTCATGTCTTGTGTCATTGCAGGGGTGTTCACAGCAGTCTGAACTGGGGCCATGTTTTCTGAGTCCATGGGCAGCTGTCTGCATAGTGCAGCTTCCTAAAAAGTGAATAAATAATAAGGGAAGGGTTATTCCAACCATTCAGAAATACTTCAGTCCTATAACAAATGAACATGTACAATGTGTACATCTTATTTAAGAAAGTAATTCTAAACCATGTAGCTGACGAGTCTGTGTTTACAATGATGTGCAGAAAAGGGGAAGGTAGACAGACGTCCTCTTCCACACCCGCCTGCGCTAGCTGAGAACGTTGCCCATTTACCTCCCGGTTACTGCTGCTGCTGGAAGTCACGTTCAGCCACCAGCGACGCGTCTGAGGGCTGTCTGACCAGCCTCATGCAGAATCTGAAAGCCTGTTTGCCCGTTTAACCTGCGCTCACGGGTTTTGCACGACGCAGATCACGAAACGCGCACAGGAACGGCGAGCTGTCACACCGACAGCGCCTGGTGAGGCGTGGGGGCAGGCGGCCAGGCGCAGTCTAACCTTGGACAAGCACATCCGCCTGCAGAACAACTGAACATCTATCCCTTTGCTGGCCACAGAGATAATCCCTACAAAAATCAAACTACCTGCGTTATAAATGACGACAACTCGCGTTGCCCCATCACAAAACACTGCCAGGCCTGCCCAGGCAAGCCGATGACCGACGGCTCCCTCCAGCCCAGGGTTTTCACATGGCTACTAGAGCTGTGCAAGATTCAAATTACAATTTCAGTTTACTGTTCAGTGAGCTCAAGTCCTCAGAGACCTGGTAGGGGGGAGCAATAATAAAATATTTTAAAAGCTAAAGATTGAAATTTAATCGCTCATGCATCTGTTTCTAACAGCTTCCCTTAAGTGAAACTGCCCTCAGCTTAAACTGGTACACCAGAGGGCAAATTCCGGCATTGAAACTACGTGAGCTGCTCCTAGAGCAAGTAATTTACTAGATACCAAAGCAGAAGAATCTAACTTGCAACAATCAAGTGCTTAACAGGTTAGAAGAAAACCACTGGAACCAAGAATTTGCTCCGGTAATCTTTAGGACGAACCTCAGGCCTAGCGATAACCATCGACCTAAAGAGCCATCTCGTGTACGCTGTCTGGAAGATGACGAACGAGCAGCTACGGCCAAAGCAAACTTGCTTCTGAACTCCTCCTCCAAGCTAAATCTGCATCTCCGTAAGACAAGCACGACACCTCGTGGTACAAAGGCCTCATACGAGCGGTGCTTGGATCCATGGGGATGCTCCAACCAAACATCCAGAGGCCTCACAGTCATCGAGGCTGTATCAGCTTTTTATCTAGTCTACTTTGCCCAATTATCATTTTTTATTTTGATGAAACGAGTAAAGGATAGGTTCTATTTAAATCCTTGCAGAAAATCTTTCTCCACTCAATCAGTTGCTCACGGTCCCCAATAAAAAAGATAAACATGTGTTTGAGGCCAGAATTTGATGTTTCGCTATGCTTGCAATTTGTTTCTTCACTGAAGAGGAACAGTCTGGTCTCTTCATAAAAAAGGTAACAATTGCTCATTGGTACTTAACATATATCGGTGCCCGTTACTGCAATGTTTCTTTTATAATCAAGTTATCAATTTAAAATATTTATTGATAAATAGTAAGTTCAAGATTTGGGGACTGCATTTTCAAATCTCACTGGAGAATGTCCCACGCTAATAAAGATAAGATTGGGACAGAAAAAAAAATAAAAGCCTTTCTCCTAGTTTGCCAACATGTAAAATGCATGCTGTCTATCACTTTGCTGTCACTATTACTAAAAATGAAATAACTGAGACCATCCTGGGCAAGATCCAAGTACTTGTCTCTTTCAGAATATTGCAACTAAATCCTAATTTGCTGCAGACACTCTACCGTTACTGGTTTGGACTTCTGCTAGCGCACTGAAACTACAGCCTCAATACCTGCCCTTTTCCTGCCAGGCCGCCTGGACCCTGCCCAGGCCGCCCAGAGAGGCTGTGCAGCCTCCATCCTTGGAGATGCCCCCAACCCGACCGGACGCAGTCCTAAGCGACCTGCTCCAGGCGACCTGCTGGACTAGACAAGCTCTGGAGGGAGGTGCCTTCCCACCCCAACCGGGCCGTGAATAAAACAGTGACCACGCACGGGCATACATCTTTCTGTACAAGATTTTATTTCTCTGTTTTGGTCATTCTTCTTATTAGTCTCTTCCTGCCAGCTCTCATGCTATTATTCTAATTATCAGACTTAAATGCAATTGTATTTTCAATACAATTGCACTGCATTAACCAGAGATGACAAAGGATAATAACCAATTATTCTATCAGAGAGCAGCACCAAAGAAAATCTACGCTCCCGTGGAGAAGAAAGGGCGTCATTTGAGTTTTTATTGGCAATTAATAGGTGGATTCACAGGAGGAGAGTTTTGAAACCCTTTTGATTAAAAATGCCAGATGCCCAGCAGGGATGATATTCCAGCGCCCTGTGTTTCCGCAACAGGTAACGACACATTGGCAGCCCAAAGCTCTGTCCAAGTAATTGATTTTACAGAGAGGATCCCGAACTGCCAAAGACACAGCTGATTTCTGAGACCAGTAAATTCCAGGACTTTGAACCAGTAAATTCCAGGACTTTGAAAGCCATGTCTGCACTCCACTGCTTTCCGCAGCCATTGCAGAAGTATTACGTTAGGAGAAAAGATGTGTAGGAAGAAAGTGAGGAAAGGTGTTCAGATAACACCAATCAATCCATACATGGAATAGTTTTTAAACAGAGAGAGAGAGAGAGAGAGAGAGAGAAATCTCTTCTTTATGGAACGCATTTAATTAAATGATCACAGGAAACATGAGGCTTTTCTCACTCTTATATCCTGCAAAACTACAGAACACAAGGCGCTAGCGCAGATTTCTGAAGCTCCATCAACTCACAAAATGTAGATGCACATATAATGCAAGTAAATTGGGTAAAAGATGAGATGTTGCTGTTGTTCACAGAGGAATTTTCACATCTTTAAATTGTCCATGAAAGAAATGCTCTTTCCCCTCACACTGAACTGCACAGAAATAGGCAAGACTTTCCTTAAACCCTTTCGTTTTTCCACAAACTGACTCAAGAAAGCCCAGCCAACTAAACAGTGCTGGAAAGAGCAGAGCGTTTCGTATGTCTGCTGCTGCTGACTCGTCCCTTCTGGCAAAAATAACAAACCCAAACTGCACCTGCAACACCTGAACTTTAGCGTAACAGACAGACAGAAATGCAGCAGTGTTTTAAAGACACTCCTCTCGGGGCAGCTGAAGTGGCAAGAGGAGGCTGATGGCCCCTGGAGCAAGGTGCGCGCGCTGCCAAGGTGGGTATGGTCTTCTGCGTGCTGAGGGCCGGCCACCGCGGGACCTCC